GGAATAAAATACACAAAAATATCTTTTTCCAAAAGCCTTTTCGTAATTTCGAAGGAAATTTTAAAGTAACTACAAAAAATTAATTTTTTTTTGTTTTGTCCCACCCTAGTGTATATGTATGTATATTGTATGTTCACACATATGTTATATGTAATTATATTCACCCATTAAAATGAATTAAAATGCAATTCAATAACATAAGCACAGACACAAACCACATTCCTCACGTAAACACTTTTGTATACAAGCAAGCATAGTCACAATTCGCAGAAACAAAYAATAATTTTGCATTGTTGATTATTACAAAACTTTTTAACAATTAATTAAAGTTTATTATAAAAGTTTCATATTTACTGCTTGCAAGCGTTGGCCAGGCACTATCCGCAACGTGCAACTAATTTTAAATACATTTATGCAAGGGTTACACACACATCTACATAAATTTGAAGAATATGCATGTGTCGTCGCATCGTCGCTATTTTGTGAGTGTGAGTGTCGGTGTCTGCAGCGGAAGTGGCCAAAATGCATAAATATATCTACATAATAGAGGTATGTATATACAATTTTCATATAAGTATATACACTCAAAGTATACATTAATATATACATATATTGCTTTATATGTATATACATATGTGCTGCTTGTAACGAGAGAACTTGGTGTAATTAAATTAAGCTGGTGCTTTTTGTACTCTCAAACCAGCTGACTTTCGAGAGCTGTGTGCGCTCGTACATTCATATCTAGATTCTTTGTTTATATATTTAATTATACATTGTTGTTTGCTGTGGTATCTTATGCCATCATAATCGTATATTCGAGTTTTTTATATTTTTGTACTACTATATTAAACAAGCCACGATGTTTGTAACAAATTCGAACGAAAAAACAAATTATTCTTGAAATAGTGAAATTTCCGGAAGAACTATTCAGACCATTACTAAAAATTCAATATCCCCTAAACCACCTTATAATAGGAAAAAATATAAAAACATTAGTTAGAGAACCTTCAAGTTACAATTAAGAACTCTTACTTAAAGAGTATTTCTTAGAGGTATCTGTCAATCAATTTTTCAGAATAGGAAGCAAAAAAAAAACAATCGTTTTTTTTTTTATATCCACCCTATTGTATATGTATAAAATGATGAGCGTGAAGAGATTAATCGCTTTAGCCATGTCCATTTGTCCATCCGTCTGTCTGTTTGTCGGTATACATGCGAACTACTCACTCAGTTTCAAAGATATCGCTCAAATTTCCTGCTTACTCGAAATTAGGTCACTAATAAGGTCATTTCTGCCTTCAACATTTTTTATATCTACATAAGCATGTACATACATATAAAAAAAGGTCTGTGTTACACTTTCTCCGGGGTAAACTCTTAAGTTACTGCACAGACTTTAGTAAAATTTAGCACAATGAGTCCATATTGATCCAACTTAGAAAACAGAAATAGTTCACAACTCAACTATATTAATTATTGAAACAATTAATATTTAAAACAAGAAAAGAACTTCACCTTTTGACATTCACATATACAAATGTTCCTTAAAAGAGTTTCATTTTGATCAATCAGTTTTTAGTATATATTCAAAACAATTTCCGCGCTATTGCCTTAGACACCAACCTCAAGCCCCACTGGAAGTATTAGGTAGAACAAGGCAAGATTTAAGTGTCACTATTAAACTTTTCGCCCGTGTTGCGCTGGAAAAATCGTTTGGTCATCAAAAATTTCAACGAATATATTCATGAAACAGCTATTTTGTCCAAATGTTCTATGGAGAAATGGTCTTGTCGCAGCAGATAAGTTTTCAAAAAAAAAACACCAGTTTCTTCATTTTGATGAGAAATTTTTGAGAAATATCAGTTTTTAGAAAAACAAAAACACTTTAGAAGAAAAATTTGTGATTCTGTAAAAAAATTTTTGGTTGAATACTTATCGATTTCTATCGATAATCCATTAAGATTTACCAAAAAAATTTTCACTTTTGTTCAACAAGTTATGATTGTTTTCATGGCAAAAATAATTATCGACAAAAAATCCCGATTTTATCTCCAATATTATTTTTTGTGTACTCATAGATTTTATATAGGCATCCATAATTGCTTTCACTAARTTATCGWTTATTTAATCAAAATRGGCAGTTATCGATATTKTYCAATAAATTATCGAGTATTTAAMCAAAATTTTTAATTTTTTAAACAGTTATGGATTTATGGCTAAGAACTTTAACCCAAGAACGATTTTTCATGAATTATTATTTGCACAAAATTACCTTTTTCGGTTTCTATAACAGATTATGTAATTTTTATTAAGAAATCCTTAATTTTGTGCAATAATGAATTTTGAACAAAAGAAYAATCTATTTTTAACTATAAAATCTTGATTTTATTCAAAATATTGAAATGATTGATATCTGTCACCGAAAAATGAAATGTCATTTCTAAAACTAAATTGAACACTCACATTTTTGGCTTTGAGACTGACGTATTTAAATTTTATTTTGGAACTCGCTTATTATGTACTATACAATATCAATGAGATMGCAAATATCCAAAATGGATATATGAAAAAGTAAAGAGGGGCAACCAGACATATTCAGCACAAAATTTGTTAAAATTTGTTGAATATATTATTTTCTAATATACGGAGTTTTGGTAGTATCAACCCAAATTTTATCCAATAAATATTATTAGCGGCAAGCATACTAAAAAATTTCCCCTAGGTTTCATAAAGTAGCTCACATACAATCACTAATCATATGAAATAAAATCAGCCGGATGTTCATAAGCCCTGATATATACATTTTCACTATATATACATACAATATAAACAATTTCTAAAGATATTATAAGCGAATTAAGCGCTCCGGGTAAAACTGAGTGCATTTTTTACAAAATTTAATTTGCTACAAATCCCAAAGACGCACTTTCTTTTGAATAATCCCGGATTTGCATGTTCTCCATAACTTATATATATTACTCTTTGTTGCCACAATTGCATTGCGCACATTTTTGTATGAAATCCATTTTTTCATTGCTCTTGCTTGCCTTTTCTTCGCTGCTCTTAGAGGATGGTAATGTGATGAAGCTAAATGTGGATTTGTGTGTGTCTGTGCCAGCTGACAGCTGTAGTTTTCAGCATTCAAAGGCAATCCGTACATTTCTTCTCAACTCTCTACGCATCTCCATAATCATGGCAGCTATCTCGAAGAGCAGCACTAATTAATTAAATTAAATGTGCATGAACCGTTTACAGCGAACATAGTCAGGTGAATGCCGGCAATTTGCCGAACAAAAATATACCAGACAATGATTACACAAATGTTAAATTGTAGAATAGTAGAATACTTACTGAAATTAAGTAGAGTAAGTAGTTCGTCTTCCGCCGAGCGTGAACGCTGTGCTTAATGCTATTGTACTCGTATATGACAAGCCCGCCAGCATGCAATAAAACTCTTGCATGCAGAATATGATTGGTACAGGTAAAAGTGAAATATCAAACTAAGTGATAGCAATGGAAAGCCGTAAGCCAAGAATAATAGTTATTAAAATGATTTTTTCTCTCACATTTAATATAATCAAGAAAGTATATATGTACTGTTACGTTTGGCAATGCGTTTCTGGAACAAGCATAGATTCTGAAATACGAACAGAACGCTTTTCAGCAGACTTATACTTTATTGTGTGACAGTTTGAAAGTCAAATTCATATTAAAAGTTGTCTACTAAAATTGTATAAACATTAACATAACGTTCAGAAAAGTGAATAACCGGAAATATTCAATATTACAACATTTTATCGATCATATTAATGCGGCTCCACTTGAAGATAACTAGTGTTCTATGACTTAATTTGGATATATTATCACTATATCTTCATTTGCCTAATTCTTTCAAGAAACTCGCAATATAAGTGAACAATTTTAAGACTAAAAGCATAGTTCGTGTGTATGTTATGTAATAATTTCCAAATTTGAATGTATGAAGTCTGTATTGTTTCATTCTATTGAACTAAGTTTAGGTAGGTCGATATATTTTAATTCATTTAACTCCTTTTACTATTAGTTACTATGAAAAAAATTTTAAGATACTGCCATGGCGAGTTCCAAGACTATTTGCCATAAAAATTATTCCCATTAAATATAAAAAYAATAAATTCATATTTTTGTAAAAGAACCCCTCATATGTTTCRAGCCACATACTTTTTAGTTCCGATATATCACCTCCCAGATATAATACAGAGATATAACACCAGTTTCGATTACAGTTCGAAGAGATTCTGTGTTCCTCTACCTACTCCTTTTTAGAACCTAAAAGTAGTCCAGCTAAAGCAGTTATTTGTTTTCGAACTGTGAAAAGTTGACTTTTCCAAAGTTGGTTTGGTATCAAWCTACTTGCAGAGTTMMTTYCCGATCCTGACGGARCTTCTGSTGTTACTGAACGTCAGTTTACACAGCTATAACAGCAGCTCCTTTTCGTACAGAMAAAATCGACAAAGAAGTGTTGTGTGACGATCATTTTGTTGATGAGTATTTTGCAAAATTTGGCCTAAAGCCGCACTGATAAATTCTATAAAGACGCTKATGCATCCTCCTTATCAGTTCGTCTCCTCCGTAYTTGAATAGCTCGGGCGGCAATTCATYGGTCCCCGCCGCTTTGTTGTTCTTCAGACGGGGACGCATAATTTCAGYRTACTCTGGGCATCAGTCCATAGAACACCTCTGGGGGTTCTACAAAAGTTATTCTATCCCTCATATAGAAAAATTAATGCTATGAAATGAGTTATTTCAAGGGTTTGTCTAGAAAGAAAATTCTGCTTGAGTTTATTGACATAACAACGAAACCATTCAAACTCTCGTTTGAAAAAAACGAACTACTTCTCTGCAATACTTAGAACTAATTAAAACATAATATTTGAAACTATTTAATATATCTATATTTCTAAAGCGCCGAAAATATTATTTTCCCCCCAAATACTTTTCAAATACGTGCTGAAAATCTTTCAAGTTAGTACATCGTATCTTATACCGTTAGCAGCCGTTTCAACTTCTGAAAGCCCCTTGCCATTACCTCCAGGCGAAAACGCTATAAACCGATTGAAAAAGAAACCATCTTGACCGAAGCGCACGCACCCGAACAAGAACTGCATGAGATCGTTTTGCATAAGGCGAAATAAGAGTGTCGTACACAGCGTCGCATTGCCATTTACGGAGCGTACACTGTCCACACGAAGGCAAATATAAATTGGCAATGGCATTATTAACGGTATGCACGAAGTGGGCGGCGCATTAATCGGTATGCTGCTGCTAAGGTTGTAGCGCTCATTGAAGCTGATGCCGAGATTAATTGYCATTGCTGCGGGGTTGTAATTTGTGTCGAAGCAAACTGCGAAAGAGAGCAAGGTAAAATATGCTGTGTTATGTTATGTAATATAAGTATGGTAGATAAATAAGCGGCAGATAATTAATGAATTGAATAAAAGAGTTTTCTCAACACTAAAAATACATTGAGTAAAATTAATTAAAAGTAAATTTTGTAAATTGGGTGTGTTTTCAAATGATTGCTGTTGTTGTAGATGAGTAAAGAGTGATTGAACATGATTAATGTTATTTSTGTTGTTTTTTCGCTTAAAGCTACATTTCGATCTCGAAGAASTTTCTTTAGCATAATTATTTGATGTTTTTGTAGGAGAAGTAAAGGAAAGTACGCGACTATTTTCATTTTCTATTAACTCTGATAGCCTAGTGACTATACGGACTTTGAGCTCGCTGACTGTACACCCAAAACTAGAAAAGGAATGCATGAACTCATTAGTAACAGCTACAAGTTGTTTCCCATATTAGACTTGTGTGGGTGTCGATCGCAGCAAAGTTTCCCGAAACTGTAAGACAGATGAGCTCGCCAAGAAAGGTAAGGGTCCCTTTACGCAAACTTCATACGATTAGAAACCATATATCTTAGCAGAGCTTAGCAAACGCCGGTCAACATGCAAAACTTATGCGACTGCTATGATCCTACTGACTCAAGGTGAACCGTAGGAGATCCTTCGAACTATTTGCACTTAGCAAAGTCAATATCGCAGTATTTGTAAAAGTTCTGACTAGACACTGCCCAATAGGTAAACATACGGTTAGATTAAATATTTTATCAAAGGCTCTTTGCCAGAGCTCTAAGGAGGAGGAAGAGGAGCTGGAATCATCCGGTCTCTTTCTCCCAATCCGATACTTTTACGTTATTAGATCGAAAGCGAATGGTAGAATCAAAGATTTTATATCCTTCTCAATTATTTCTTTAATAATTTTGCAGGTCATCCATAAATATTACGGTATTGATATACCCTCGAAACTTATCAAAATAATGTCACTTTCCATCGGTAAATTTGAATAAATATATTCAATGATTTTTGTTTCAAGTTTAGTTGTCTATGCTGTGTCTCCACAGCTTAACATATAAAATAAGAAAAGATAAATAGGTGATGATTTTCCCGCGACCTTAGGCCTCTTGTGTTCTTTCCTAAGTCACAATGACCCACTTAGCCCCAGTTATTGATATAATATACTGTCAGTTGCTAATGAAATGATGTGATGCCTATTTGTTTCCGATACCTCTGCCTGTCAACTGTTTCTTCCTTGCGGAGCAACTCATTTATGGTATTAGGGTTCAGGTTCTTCTATGTAAAAGGATCTTGCGGGGTGGGCTCATCATCCAGTTCACTCCCGCATATTCTTTTGTGACTGGGCACCCAGATACAGATACACTTGGTTACGATCCGAGAGACTGTTCAGCCGTTCTCTACACTCAAGCACCACTAACGATATGATCTCGTAGGCAGGGATTGCTTTAAGTGCCGCTTGACTGTCGCTAAGTATGGTTATAGTTGCGTTGGAGGTTTATCTTTACGCGCCAGCTTAGGCAAAGACATCTCCTTGAAATATGCTCTTTCCATAGGTATAGAGATATTACACTCCACTGATCAATTTTATACTCACAGTTATTATTAAGCCACTCGCCCATTTTGAGTCCCAAACAGCATTGGCATCTTAAAAATGTGCACCAACAGGGTTGCCACAGGCGTGTCAAGTCCACCGTGTTACCAAAAGTGGGACGCATATATTCGAAGGCCGTGGCTTCTTGACCCGTGCGGGGGTCATAGATGATTAAGCGAAACGGTCGTCTACCGTTATTATTTACTAACGCAGCCGCAGTAGCGTTAATATCATCATTTGTTATTGGCGGCACCGTTAAATCAATCAAGCCGGATACCTCCAAAGCGTGGACAAACATTTCTCGGCACAAGAAAAGTTGCAAAAAAGACAATACCAAGCAAATTTCTAATTTACTTGCCGCTTTCAGTGCTGAGCAAGCGTACATTTTATTATTTTTAATTACGGGTTTTTTGTTCACATAAAGCTCTAATTAAATCTTCAATAATACGACCTGGGCGCCTCTAGTAAATCGTGTAAACAGTCGGAAGTTTTTACGCCAAATGTTGAAAATGAAAAATTCATTTGCCGCAGACTTCACGCTCCAACTTGACGCTTTGTATCACGTGGTAAATAAATCGTGTGGAAAATTCGTCATTAAGTTTTTGTGGTGTCAACAACGCGTATTGGTGTCAGCGCGCCAGTTTTGACGCTACATTAAGCTTATTGGTGACGTGAAGGTCATAGAGAAAAATTCATATGAATGTGAAAGTAGTTTTATGGTTTAAATGTGGGCTATTGTTATGTTTCATGACTTAGAAGAAAAAATTCTACAAAATGGGCGAGTATTTCAATCCGATATAAATTTGAATAGTTTTCCACAAAAATATTTCATAACATAACATAACATAGCATATCATAACACAACATAACATAACGTAACATAACATAGCATTACATAAATAACATAATATAACATAACATCAAATAACATAACATAACATAACATAGCATAACAAAATAGCATAATCTAGTACAACAACATAACGTAACTTAACAAAACGTAACCAAAGACTACTTAGAATTGCAAAACACATGGAATTAATTACGTTTTCTAATTTCCTGTCCGAAACAAGTCGCTAAAACTTAAGGCAAAAATGTTGTCAATAGAATTTTCCCTTGAATACAATCGATTCCTATAATAACTGATCCAAAAATTTAATAATTTTTAGCAATCTTCAATAGCTATTTCAAAATAATGAGCTATTAGATAATTCCCATTCTGGCCCTTCTTCCTGATTTCGTCTTCTGATTTCCGAGATAAAGTCAAAATTTCACCTATGTATGTAAATGTATGAATTTCTAGGCTCATCTGTATAAGAATTTCTACCACTAAACAGTATATTCTTTCCCTACATAAACAAGAACTAACCGAAACCACAGGAAGGTTTTGGTCTTATTAAAATGGAGCTTATTTGCTTACTTTCAAAAATTTATCTCTGTAAATTTCTTTGAACTAGATTAAGAACTATGCTATCAGATCGCATGTTAGCAATCTTCAAATCATATATCCGCCCTTTGGGACCAAATATTGGTAACGAAATGATACAGGCTTAAAAGCGATTTTTCTCCTAAATTTTTAACTCAACTTAAGCAGATTTTGTGGTAAATTCTCTACTAAATTTGTACTTTAAACAATGCTCTCAGAGTGGATAAAATCTTGAAGAGTTGGGATATATTGAGATCTTTGTTCAGGTAGATGTTGTTATGATCAAAAGAATAACTCAAAAATTCTACACTGGATCGAATTGTTACACTCTTCACTCCTTGTTCTTGAACTATTTTCTCTAAAAACATCGTATACAAGTAAGGAAGAGCTAAGTTCAGATATAACTAACTATATAACTGTACTCTTGCAAGATTTTACCCGATTTTATTCGTTTTAAGCGCAAAGAAGCATCGTTATTAAAAAAAAAAACGCTTTCTCAATATTATTAAGTTAACTCACATATTGGCCGATATTTGCGGTATAAATCCACCCGGAAATTTGTAGAAACTATGTATTAGGTAAGTGGCGGCTAAGGGAAGTATTAACTCGATTCAACCCACTTTTAACAAACAGGCATACTGAAAAGAATTTCCCCTAAATTATATTACACATCTACCGATATTTTCAATGGAAAGTTAACTATAATCGCATATTCAGTACCTAGCGGCTTGAGCGGGTTTAGTTAGATTTGGACCATTTCTAGTAATAAGGCACTATCATGCAAAGTTTTATCTTGATATATTAATTTACATATGCTTAAATTGTATAGTGAAAAGTGGAAAAATAAAATCGAATCTAAAATGGTGTTATGTGGGAAGTAGAGGTGGTAATAGTACGATTCCGCTCAATTTCACATTGTTAGATAAAAATGTCAAAGGAAAATTATTATTAATACTCGTTTTATCAGCTTATTTTGATTTAAAACGCTCGAGCGGATACCGAGGTATGTTATTTCATATAAAGAAGGCTGGTCTTATGCCTATTTTTCAATTTTGAACCCGATTACTTTAAAACTCTCATATCATCTCTGTCGTAAAATTTAATGTTTCTGGCGTATTTAGTTATTGTTTTATTGCGCTTTTAATAGTTTTAACTGTACCATTATATGGGGAGTAGGAAGAGTTATCATCCGAAGTCATCCAATTTATCGATAGAAGTTTTTATAATATTTGGTTTAGGCAAATGTGGTTGTTGTAGCTTTAGTGGTTTCGGAATTGTGGTCATTAGACTTATTGGAGGGGATCGCCACGTTCACAATTCCACATTATCTTGCCCATAGATGTCCCTTGCTACTATGACTCCATGTGCCAAATTACAGTTCTACTGTATCTTATTTTACGGAAGTTTATAAGTTTTCGGTTACTTGTGATTTGTGGGCGTGGCAGTGCTCAGATTACGTTCATCTACGATTTGTTTCCTATTTATATGTACATAACCCTATATCTATCTCGACTATTTTGATTATTTTAACTAAAAGTTAGGTTATGCATATCGGTATACATTTTCTCCATACAAGTAAATATCACTCACAATAACCAACTATATATAATTTCGCACAGAAATCACACAACGACATATTTATAAAACCTTATAAACTATCGTTTAATTGACAAATAAATTCTCGCAAATGAAATCATCTACCTTTGGCTACTCTCCATTAAAGCTCATCTGTCTGCACAGTTGAATGTTGGTCGGTCTCATTGAAATTAATCTGCTCGGACATCTTTTCTGAGATGATATTCAAAAATACACAATGTGATTTGGCGATTGTGTGGCAACTATTTATTTCACATCGTTTACATATGAATTTGCATATTTATTTTCTACTATTTACTAGTTTCTGTATATGAATTTGATAGACTCTTCTCTGCTCTGCAATTGCACAATTATTTTAGTGAAAATATTAGATATTCCACATTTAATATACTGTTTATCTTTCGGCAAAGTAAATATTTATGCAAATTCTCTCAGATTTTTCGGCCGGATTTGCAAGTGAGAGAATATGACAAAGCAGACAATTGTAGTTCATTTGCATAGTAATCGTTTGTTTAGATAGCCTTGACAAATTTAAGGATATCGATGGCGAAAGGTAGAAGAATATAAAAGGAAAAATATGTTTTAATAATATGTTTACATAAAAGTTGAAATATTTGGTTTTTCGGCTAGCAACTAATATGCCACGAGTTAACAAACAAGCGTAATTATTAGATGGACTCATAAGCAAAGATAAATTTTGATTTTCGTATGCCGTCGAAATCAAATCAAAATAATTGCCCTTTCTTAAAGAGTTACGGAAATGATAACATCATCACTCATCACTTAAAAGATTAAAATTTATCAAAGTAAAATATTTTCTTTAACGATATACAAATTTTCCAGTAACCTTCATACCGAAAACCATAAAAATTGTCCGATTGGTGGCGTTCATTACCCCGAAACCCCAAATCATATGTAAGAGCAGATTGTGCCTTTTTTTTTTTTTTTTTAATTAAGATACAAGCATAGATCAATATTATGGTCAAACCCGAAAGCTATTTCAAAAGTACTGAAAATATTGCACAATGTATTTTTCAACAAATTTCACCTAAAACAATGGTGGTTGAGTGTTCTACAGCTTTATTAACATAAATGTTGTTGTCTAAAGAGACTTCATTAGAGAGAAAGAAGCATTAAAAAAATTTCCTCTCTTTCTTTCTCTTTCAACTCCCTTAATCGTGGTCAATATTTTTCAAAGTACATTTCTTTTTAAACACATATTTATGACATAAATACTACAAAGCTGTCAGTAAAATTCATAATCTCAGTGAATAACGTTAACACGACTAACCGGGGTCTATCCTACCAATTAGTATGTTCTTGTTATTGAAGAGATATACATATGTATAAATATAATCTCATAGTATAAGCGCGGTTTGTTTGAAAGTGAAAGGTAGACACACCTCTTCCAATTATGTAATTAGCTACGAAAAAGTAACACCGGTTAATAGCGTTTTTCCCACAGGTATATATGTATACCTTTTTTTGTTGCTTTCTCAAAATACGAATAATAATAAAAAAAAAGTTTTTTATTTGTGTTTATGTATTAAAATGTAAAAATTTTGCTTATTTTATTAAAAGATACCGTTCATCAATTTAGAATTTATTATTGCAATAGAATTTTTCATTAATTTTTTCAAATCCATCATAACTAGATGGAATTGTTCTCCTTATTCTCCCGAGTAAGCTCCCACATTATTTTCAAATCAATCTGAATGAGAATATAATATTTGTTTCTCTAGGGACATTTTACAGTCGATGTTAGAGAAAGTCGTGATCAGTTCGTCTTAATTGTCAGACCTATACTGCCTCAGAACTGTTCCAGGCGTTTTTTTCCTCATTGCCAAAAGCTTCGGGAAAATATCAGAATTCATGTGTGCTTTTGTTTTATTTGAGGCCCTAGGAAGTTCCACCTTTCATTTTCTACTGAAAGCCTTGTGCATTATTCTATAAATATTTAAAAGATGATCAATTGTTTGCCTCCAACTTCTCGGTACAGCAAACTTCACTGCTCTGTTTTCACCTCGTTACCAATCTACAATGAAACGTAACATGTTATAGTCTAAGCAGCGTTATCTGATTGATTTGTCAAATATAGGAAAAATACCATCCAGGTAATATCTCAGTGAATGGAGATATCTTCATAATTGATTACAAGTGAAAACTTTAAAGACTTAACGTATATATTGTGCTATGAGGGTTTAATCGATGCTAGTCTTATGATGCTACAAGGCTTTCAAAAGTACGAAACTCTTATTTACTGATTGCTTAAACAA